TTTCCTTACGTTTTTTTTTCCCATTTAACTGCTTTTATTTAAATAATGATGTCGAAAATCAAAACATAACTTATTTAAAGTACAATCTAGACAACTTGCATTTTCAGAAAAGGTGCCACATCTAAAAATTGGAGCAAGTTTACTAAGAAAAAACGTGTCCACAGACTAGAACAAAGAACCAAGAAGTAGAAGATATAAACAGCATTGTAAAACCAATAGGTCCCTCGCTACGCTTGGAATCTAAGATAAATATAGGTAAAAAATAATAATACAAATTGGCAAGGGCAACGCCAGGTGTGGGACATCTAGTACATAATAAAAGTAAATTAAAATTTACGGACAAACATTCTATTTCAAAATGAATTATTTATTAGATGGATAGTATTTTGTCATGAACATATATATTATTTTAAATTGGTCTCGTATGTAGCGACTATCTTCCAATCGGTCGGTACAAATAATTTGGAATTAAATCGTAGGTATAATTGAATTTTCTATAGTAAAAATTATACAATTTGTTTCATGTATAGTTTACTATTTAGTAAGCTATACTTAGACGCTATACAAAGATGCTGATTTTACGTCTGTCGGTAGGTACTCTATTCGAAAAACCGTTTGAAATACCAAATACTTTTACCGAAAAATTACTTTTTATTTTTTTCGAAAACGCTTTATTGGTTACGCGATTGCTTCAAATTTGTTCGCGCTGAACATTCGATTTGGGGTCGGTCAACAAAAATGAAACAAACTCTGTCCACGCGCTGGACTCCCTATAGGTTATATAGGTAGTGATAAATTGCGTATAGTATGATAGTATATGCTCGAGTTTTACGCAATTTATTTAACGATTCGCATTTCTATTTTCCGGTGTATTTAATCCGGTAACAACGGCGAAGGCATATTATGGTAGGTGGGTAGTGATTATCAAATAAAGACCTACAACCGGTGTTGTCCTGCAGTGTTGGCCGCATCCGGTGCCGATCATCATTAAATCCAAAACGCCTGTTCGTATTTCAAAGCGGGATTAGTGTTACGGCAGTCTTGCCCCAAGTCTCATCTGCACGACGACTAGATGAATACCTTTTCACGTGTGAGTCGGCGACAAAAGGTTATTCCGCTTTTCGACCCTCGTAATTGGCTCGTTTTGTAAGAAGAAACTGCTGCGAGCGCGTTACAAACAGGAATATAACAAAAACTGGATGTCGTCGTCTGACACCGTGACCATATTTTACCGACGTGACGACACGGTCATCCCGCGGTCGAACATTTCAGTGACGTGCATAATGAAAATAAAATTTAAACAAAAAAAAATCCCCGCTTTTTAACGAAATATTATTATTGCAACGATCGTATTTAAATACCGTAAAAACGATAGACATGCTCTCAATAGAAAAAAAAAAAAATGTTTTGGGATTGAAAATTGTATATAAAGTTACATGCTGATATACGTATATAGATTCGTATTCATTTATTCGCTCAAATGCGTATAAATACGTTCGTGGTTTGAAAAATGAAAAAAAAGAAAATTTGCCCAAAAAATGTATAGGTATTATGTGTACTATAACGCCACAAATTAACATTGAAAATCGAACGTAAACTTTATACGTACTTTATAGGAAGGTCGGTTTTTGTTTGGTTTTTTTTTTTTTTTTACATTTATCGATTATTTATTTTATTACTTATTCAATTCGGGAGAATTTGTTTTATTATCAAAAGTAAACCGTATTTATTGCCAATGAATAAAAACGCAATGTTTGACGCTTTTCACAAAATACATAATATTAAGAGTTTTTAAAAAAAATAGATTCATTAAGTTAAGTGCATTGCGTGTTTTGTGTGATTTAATAAATTTATCCACAAACACGACGACGCGCGCATATATATAACTACGTTAAACTATATAATAATAATATTTAAAAAAAATAATTCAAATATACGTACAAAACTCAGCGTTAAATATTATTGTTGGTTTTTAAATATTACCTATAATGTTATTAAACGAATTATAATTTATGAACAATTGTCGCCTTCGATGTAATATTGAAAATGCTCGGAAATTTATAACTACCAGTGATGGGAATGATGGCGTTCGTATTGTGTGAATTAGACATGAACAAGTTTAATTTTTTAAGAAATGAAATTGAACGTGATCTAAGTATTCTTATTTGTTATGAACTTGAATGTTTTTGGTACGTTCATTGATACATTAACTTTCTCAGACCATTTAGTTATATTTATAGCATTTAATTTATATAATACATCGGAGAAGAAACTCAAGTAACTTTAAATTTCTCGCAAAGACTTTTCATTATCAAAGAAAAACTTTGAGTATAAATGAAATTATATTATCAACAGTTGCGTAAACATTCGTTCATTATATTTAGTATCTATAGCCGTTGGTCGAGTTAACTACATATCAAAATAATACGTTGCTCTATGGCACGGCTTTTGTATAGAGGCAAACGTTGCCTACGTCACGCACTCACTCACGTCTTGTCAGTCTGTTTTCAGTAATAATTGGATCATTTAGTTCCAAACGAGTCCTATTAAACCACATATAAAATTGAAATATGAGTTGGTACTTACAACCTAATATTTCACTGTTATTAAAAAAGAATTAGGTATTCAAATGACGATATCATTAGGTATTTAAAGCCTTAAAATTTAAAATGTAAGAATTTTAATGTTATTTTACATAACATTTATATATAGGTACGTTTTTTAAACTTATTTGGAACCAATCTTACTTAATAATATTATTGTTATCACATAATATGACGGAACACTAATCACCTCTATTTGATAAAACTTTACATAAAATAACAATTGATTGTTTTCGATTAGTGGTTAATACTATACACAATTTAATCCTATTTCGATTTGTAGAACTTGAACTAATTCATTTTAAAAATTATGAACTAAAATTTGAATGTATGCAGGAACTTGAACTTGAATCGGCTCGTTTTTAAAAAGAGCTTTCCGATTACTGATAATTATTATGTAATCCCCACAAAATAAAACATATAGTCGTTACTATACTGTACTACATATACTATACATTTTATTCACTGAACTCGTTCGCTAAACGAAATTCGATACAATATTTCAGCTTAACAAATACAATGTGAGCAGGGGCACCTACGTACTTTTGTTTCTTTTGATTCTCGGGAAACATTTTTTGTAAAAGTGAGGCACCAAACCAGTAAAGATTCTCATAAAGTTTTGTCTATTTAGAAATTATAATGTAAACGGTCAATTGAACACCCGAATGATAAAGCAATGCAAAATGAACATTTTTTGAATTTTCCAGTTCCAAGCGACGACACCTACATGAAAACTTGAATGAATATTTTGTTCGAATACAATAATTTATCGTTGTTATACTTTCGATATTAAAACAAAATTTCCGGGTGCCGGCATGTACTCCACTACTCCGTGTAATTGACTTTTTTTTTTGTCATTTGCATACATATCATGATAACTATACTGTTACCCAGTGTTTGGGTGGAAATAGAAATTGTTTTTTTATTCAAATTAAAACGTTTACGTTCGTGAGAAAAATACAAATAAATTCGTGTCGCAAACGTTTTTCAAGTGAAATCGACTAATACCCAAAGAGACCTTTTAACGACTCTCGTTTCGTTACAATATAAAATACGACCAACACAGTGAACGCTCCAAATATACATATACAGTATAATCGAAAAATACATTTTTTTTTTTAATTTCTGTAGTATTTTGTGCGTTATATATCGTGTTCAGTTTGTCAAATTATTATACTATACGTATTATTATATTCGTATCGGAAATGGAAAAGTTTTAACGTGTTGGCGTACTACAAATAATATAATATATTATTATTCAGTGTATTGTATTTCTTTTGGTATATAAAAAGTTTAAAATAAACTTTGAGTTTCGCTTGTCAAGTGTAATTTTAATCGAGTGTGTATTATGGTTTGAAGTAGGTAGGTATAGTATATACGTAGGTATTTTTAAAGTTGTAAAATTTAAATCCTCGGGGTTAACGGTTTGAGGTCCTCTCGAGTGAAAAGAGACGCACGAGGCAGATGGATTGCAGGTATACACGCATTGTCTCGGTAACTTCGTCCCGCGAGATTACCCGTTGAACCCGCCGAAAACGAGATTTCCCGTCTATAGAACCATTATACGACGGGATTTGTACTACTTTTCTATAAATAACATTTCGAATCTGTTCTGTATCGAGTTTCCACAAACTGATTCATTTTAACCAACGATGGACATTTATTTCTTGAAATAATATCGGTTTGTTTTTTTTTTCTACTGCGTACCACATACGTTACACAAAATAAGAAAATACGTACTGTATTTTGTACTACCGTGGCATTATTCATTCGCCAGAGTACATTATTTCTTCGGTCCCAAGGAAGACGGGCTTAAACAAATTGCATATAGTTTTCAATGAAAATAAATTAAATATTGCGAATACTTATATTAGTGCGATTTAGACCGAAAAAAAGGAAAATAATTCAATAAGACAAAATTATACAAAAAAAAATTCTAAAAATTGACAAAATTCTCTCTTTCCTGTGATCGAGTCCAGATTAAAGAGGGAGGTCCAAGGGAAGTCTTAGCCCCCGGGCCACCAAACTTCTAGAGCTTAAGTTTTTGACACAGTATGTTCTTTATATATGCATTTAACAATTAACTTTGTACTTTTATATTTTAATATTTTTCGTTGCCTGAATGCCTGATGGTGACTTATTCGTATTATTATAATAACAATAATAAATTATTCATTTCCCAACAACAATACTTACAGGAAGTATACGAACAAATTAAACTATTGCTGGATCACCTCCAAAGCCAAAGGTTGTGCTGGAGGTGAGAGTTCAATGTTATACAGTTAAAACTTCTATATTGTAACTGTTAAAAATAGTATTTGTTTAAATAAATAAATATTATTTTTTAGGCGTTTTAGATCTAAATTATTCAGAATTATATGATGTCTATACTATTTATTATTTTTCTTCTGTTAAAACATATCTAGTAACAATTTTTAAAAATGCGTAATTAGTCTTGCAACAAGTCTCGTTGAAAAGTTTGTCCTTAGGACCCTCAATGTTTAATGTCTTAATCCGAGCTTCCCTGTGATCAAAAGTTTAATAGTTATACTATACGAGGTGTCCTACAGTGTTGTCCTTGTATTAATAACTCTGCCAATACTCATTTTTTTTTTCTATCGGGTTTTATGCGAGGGGACCACATATACGTAAAAAAAATACATTTTTATTTTTAATCCTAAGTCACTGAAAAAGAGGCTGCATACGAATTGCGTCCCCGATATAAAAATTACGAATTGTGATATGCTAATTGTATCCCGGGTTTTCTATACGAGTATACTATTTTCGTCCGGATTATCTGATAAACCTTTAACAATCTCAATCAATAATCGATATGACTATATGAGTATTTATGAAATAAATATAATCGATTAGTATGTTTTTCGATATCGTCTCGTTGACAATTGTGCGCTGTTCTATTTCTTTGTAAAAATATGAGTTTAATTGAGAGTGAGATTATGAATAGTGAAAAAAATAAACATTGATTTTTGTAAACGATTTTAAATTATGTTTTCATAAATTATTGAAAAATGATATACAACGTTGGAAGTACTGCAAAAAAAACATGCAGGTCATATGCTAAATTAATCGATAAAAATGAAATGTTAGAACGTCCTATTGAACATAATCATGAAAGAGTTTCTATAGAAATATTAAACCGACAAAAATTAAGCAATAATTTAAAACGAAAAGTAATAGACGATCTCTATGGAAACCCTCAAAACTCATTCATAGAGAATTATCAAATGACGGTTCGACATTGATCAGTTATGATTTAACTTTAATTCGCAAAAATATGTACCACCCCCGAGCATCTGTAATTCCCAAGCTGTCATATAATATATTAGGTTTACATAATTCATTGAAAGAAAACATCAAAAGTAACCAAGATGAAAAGTTTCTATTAGTTAACAATTATGAAAATAATATATTAGATTTTTCAACAGTAACTAATTTGAAGTTCTTAAGTCAAGTTGACACAATATTTGTCGATGAAACTTTTAAAAGTTGTCCTAAGTTATTTACAAAATTGTTCACAGTTCACGGTTTATCAAATGGAAATTACATAAAATTAGTTTTGTTTTTTGTTAATTGATAAAAATGTAGAAACTTACAAAAAATTTCTTCATCTAAATTCAGAATGTATAAAAAATATTATTAATTTTTTACCGAAAATGGTATTTGCTGATTTCAAAAAATCAATTCACTCGGCAGTGTTATTTGTTTGGCCATTTATCGAATTAAAATAATGCTGATTCCATTTAGGCCAGAGTTGCTGGAAAAAGATTCAAGTTATAAGTTTGAGTAATGAATATAAGTTAAACTCAAGAATAAGTAATTACCTAAAAATATTATTTCCATTCAAAATGTCCATTTAAAATTTAGTTCAAAAAAGTTTTATTCTGTTCATCCAAATATCTACAAATTTATTGATGTACTTAAAAATGTATAAAAAGATACATAAAAATTTGGAGTAGTAGACAAATAAAAAAAATAAAAGGTGAAATATATGAATAAATAAAAGAAATTTTAAGAAAAGAAATGATTAAATACAACGTGAACAAAATATCACGTTTTTGTCAAAACTGTATCGTTCAAACTTTTACCGAGCTATAAATAATATTATAATAATATATATATATAGCTTATATTTTTTACTATTTTTTTTTATTTATTCTTTTATTTTTATATTTAATGATGAAGACAATATTTTTGATGTACATAATTAAAAAAACGTGGAACTATGCAATTATACCGATTATGAAATAATTTTAAATTTGAAAATTTGGCACTTACTGCTTATTCCAATAGGAGGGTAGTATTCGACCAACAATTTTGAACAGACTTAGGCTGGGCGCACACCTAAAGAGCAAAACTGCTCCGAGCAGCTCGGATCAGCTCAGAGCTGTTTGGACATCATTAGAACACGTGTAAAGTAATTGACGCGCGCACACTAATCAGTCAACATCAACACACGACAAGGCAAAACAAAACATGTTCGGTCTTGATCGATCCGGTTCTATTTTTGCTCCGAGCAAAATACGAAAACCAAAGTCACTTGTTCATTTTACGACTAGTACACACTACCGAACACCGTGTGAACACGTTATTTTAATATAAAAATTATATCATATTAATTAAACAATGGCATGCGATCCAGAAAAATTAATAAATGCAGTATTTTGCAGAAAATCTATTTATGATTATTGTGATAAAGATCATAGCAATAGATTGACTCACGATTATTTTCTAACCGTTTTTCATTTATTTCGTGCATCCAAAGTTTGTTTTTGCTACGTTCGCTATTTAATAAAAATTGCCGCATAAGCGGCACAACGACGTCGTCTTCGTCAGAACTCATCTTGACGACTGGTGTCTTGTTCTGTTCTGTTTTGCCAGTGTGAATGGAATTTGTTCCGAGCTGTTTGGAACAAAATGGTGTGCGCCCCCAGCCTTACAATGATAGTAGTTTTTCTGAAAGGAAATCCGACTGGGGTTGTACTTCAAGGAAGTAAATTTTTGATTTTCCCAAGGGTTTTCCCATTTATTAACCTAACGAAAAAATAGGTACAATTTATTAAGTAAGTATGATTAAAGAAAATATAATAATGCAAATGTAATTATTTTACCCAAATATGACAAACCAATACTATTAACCGAACTTCTCTCTTTTCTCATTTTTTCGTTAACAATGGTTAATCGTTACTTACAAATATACATAAAAAATTATCTATAACAGCGACTGCACTCGTTCCCATTATCTTAGGATAGCTTTTTAGCCTTTTAGGTACTTATTACTAAATTTTACATTTAATTTTGTTTTGGTGAATACAGCCTAAATGATAACGTAATTTACATTACTGAATGACAATAATAACAACTATAAGACAATATTTATTTTCATTAACTACTATCAAGTAGTACTACCATCAATGGACACGGGTGCACGACTACATTATAATAGCGATATGCTGTCTGGCGGCCTGCCATACTATTATTGCCTATTACCTTTATTCTTTCTATTATTGTTATTTAATGTCACCTACCCACCCACCCACTCGACCAACCCATAAATACTTCTGGTAAATTTTTCCCAGTTGAAACCCGTATTCGGCGCCACTGGCTTGATGTATTGTTTAGAAAATAGCTTTTTTTTTTTTTTCTAAGGATTCGGCTTTTAAATTACCAATTATTACAGTCGAGTTGAGTAGAGAAGAGGAACTGACGATTTATTTATTCACCATTATTATACGCTACTCGGGCACGCCAGTCGAGAAATATTCGTACCCGACATGAATTGAATGACGCGGTAAAACGAAAAATATTTTTGAAACTAGTCGCAAACATGCGCACTGATACGGCGCGTCCGAAATTCGGTATTTCACGTACGGACCGATACGGTTTTCCCACGTATAGAACCCACGCGTTTATAACAATGCGGTTTTCGTGCGGTTTAGTCGTCGGTTTTACACGACTATCCCGTCCCTCACCCTGCCCCCCCCCCACCACGAGAGCCGCGCGGATACCGCGGGGATCTGAAGCGCAAACAGCGCCGGTCGCGTCGCCTCTTTAAGGCCGCGGAAACAACGATACGGGGCGACCGTCGGGTTCACCGGCGCGCGTACATAAAACGACCCCGGGGCGATGTTTACGAGTGTGTATATACATATACAAACATATTGTCTGTACACGCTGCGGCAGTCGCGCCGTTTTGTCAAATCTCCTTTTCATCACGACGATCGAGTCGTCGTCGTATAATTCGCGCTCCGAGCGACCGTGCGCTTTATAATATATTGCGGAGCGTTTCCGAACGCGGCGGCGGTGAAAGTCACGAGCCGACGCGCGACGATGATGTTTTTCATTACACTCTGCGTCGCGGCGCCTACACCGCCGCCGCCGCCGCCTGAACCCGGAGTCGTACGCCGGGGACGCGGTAAAGTCGGGCTCGCGGAGTGAAAAGGGCACGCGGGACGAGAGACAGATCAAACGGCCGCCGTCCCGCGTCTGCGACCGCGACACAAAAGAAGATATTATTTCGGAACGCGAAGTGAACTGCCGCGGCGGCGCTGCGGGAAAGCGCGGCGCGCCGTATACCCGCCGTCGCGGAGCGTTTGGGCGCGCAAAACAAACTTCGCTGCGGTGGCGGCCGCGGACGGGACGCGGACGCGGACGCCGTTCGGGGGCCGCGGAAGTTCGCCGCCGCTGCCGTCGGATGAGCAGCAGCTGGTGCCGCGCCGCGCGCTTGATCAGTCGAGTGTCAAATCTCGGTGGCAAAACGTTTCGCCCGTCATACTACCCCTCCCACCACCCTCCGACGCCCCCAAGCCACCCTGTTTATGTATATACGCATATACTGAAAACCGTTCCGTTTTCACCCCCGCCGCCTCGTATAATATAAACTCTGCCATCCCCCAGACACAATAAATATGTATACACACCCGCGTGTATTATGTGTATAGTAAATACGAACGCCTTTTGTACAAAGGGAGGCCCGCGCGGAGTGCACTCTATGATTTCGAACAAACGGCCGGGAGTAATTCGTATTCGGGCTTTTTAATAAATATTATGATGATTTTTTATTTATTTTTTTTTTTTTTTTTTTAAATGACGTTGAAGAGCGAACGTTTGAACGTCGATTTATCGCGCACGGCGACAATCATTGTGTGCCCGCGTAGACTTACTGTACATACGCATGTACATACGATATACGGACTTTTGTACGCCGCAAAAAAAAAAAAATAAAAAAAAAATAATACAATAAAATACTTTCAGTTTGAACGTATAAGACAATGGATTCAACGACGAAATACAATGAAATGTGACCTAAAAAAAAAACAAAAAAAAACTGTTGAACGTTTGCGCGTGCACGCTTATATACCTATATATAATAACCTATACAGGGTTGATAATAATCGTGGACGTTCTCGCGAATCGATTTCTTTAATGGAAACAATCAAATTATATAAATGAACGCCGCTTGTCTATACCACTTGCCCTCCATACCCTAACCGATATGATCGAAAATCAAACGAAACAACAATACGGGGGTAAAACTATAAAAGGATCACAAAATCGATTTTATTGGGATGATTTTTTTTTTCTTTCAGTTGGTCAAACGTTTGAATTCGTTTGGATTGTATATTATGTAGAGAGTGTTAAAAGTGAAAACCTTTACCTAATATTAAAATGTACGAAATAAATTATAAATAATTAATCGCCTTCTTCAAGTTGCGCAAAAGAGACCAAATATAGCGAACATCCCGTCATACATCGCCATCATTTCGATCATTCGATGTCCGTACTCTCGAAATATTCTTCTCAGATTGCCATTAATATCTTTCTTGCCTACGTCAGATCTTAGCACCTCATTCTCGATCTTGTATCAGATCTTCTCTTTACCGACTTACTGTAATCCTTTTCAGCAATGTACGAAGAAATACGTTTTGGTTTGCAAACCAAAACGTGTCTTGACGTCCTGTCCATTGTAATCTCTTATTTCTGGCGGTTTCTATAGTACTTCAACAATGTTTGGCTTCTAACACAACGATTTCAGTACTTCGTTAATTCTAGTTCCCTATTCATAAATCTTCGTATCTTTTACGAGTACATAGTTCCGAAATTTCCCTCTAAATTTAATAATTATATAATATATTGGCAAGAATATAATATTGTACATCGTTTCGATTGTAATAATAATCTATTAATTTATTTTAAAACAGGGATTATAATTTATAATCTTTGAAAAAAATAACATCAATTATACTCATATGAATTTGAAACGTCGATCTATAGTTAACATTTTTTAATGCCCGTCAATCTATTTGATTTTCGTACCTATTTAATCACAACGCGCGATTAGTGATTAAATTTAATATGCCACGTACGCGCTGGTAAGTATGGATTTTTTTTTTCTACTATATTAGTAATACGACCCTCTTTAATACTATAATATGATGTACATGTGAAACCCCTTTGAAAAAAAAAAAACGTGTTTGTGCGACAAGGGTCTTCTATATAATATTTTGATCAACTATTTAGATGTAAATTTGATTTAAACAGTACCTTACTAACTTTGAATCGGATAATAAAACGATAATGTTATTGTATTTATCGAACACCGCCCTAACCCCTTTTATTCTGAAGGATAACGCCGCAATATGGTTTCCTACTTAGTCTATTCTATCAAAACAAATTGATTTGTGATTTACCAATTTTGTACGTTTAATATACATTAACCTATTTACACTTTATTTATTATATTATGTTTGAATTATTATTCTTGTGTCTATGTTTTTTTTCTCTCGAACGGGTAATAGGATATTTTATTATTTTGAACGAATAAAAAAACCAATACTGACTTATTAATCTCAGTGTAAAAACTTAAAAATTACATTTTGCATATAATTTTTATATCAATTTTTATATCAATTTTAAAAAGCTTGATAACTAAACACATCAGACGTTTTTTTTTTCAACGAACATTTTTTTTCTCATTAAAAGTTACCTACTCTATATTTATACAGTTTATACTTAGTTACACATCCTGTAAGTTTTTAATTCGAATAGTTCGAAAATGTTGGAATTATGATCAAAATTCATCGTCAACTAATTTATCGTGTAATCTTCTCTGTAGATCTCCAGACCCCTAGGGAACATAACATTTCACGACCCCCCAATCCTCCATTTTTCTTTATACCTATTGATTTTTTCTTTTCAGTTCGAACCTTCACCATATTATTCCACATTCTTTTTATCACATCTTCCTAACTGTTTCAGGAACTTCATAGAGGTATTTCTCCCACGTGAATTCTGTTCTATTTTAATCAAATATATTATAATTAAAGAAGAACTGATATTTGCAGTGAATGTGCTACAGTTGTAAGTGGGAAATTGATATGGCAGGATACATAAAGTTATTCAATTTATATCTGTACATAATCTGTCGATAAACTATTCCTAATGAAAAACGACTTTTAAGTTATTTAAAAATTATAACTTGTATTAAATTTTCAAGAATTTCTGTTAGGCTAAATAATTGTATCCATATAATATTTACCGAATAAAAACTAAAAAAATAGAAAAAATAGCGAATACCTCATAAATAGACAAAATGTTTTAAACATGTTGCCACGTTTAGAATTGGCTAATATAAGTATTCTACATTTTTATAATTATTTTTAACTGATTTACAATAAAAAAAAAAATTTTAAATAATAAAATATTTGTAAGTACCACAAACTTGTACGTTTTTCGCAATTATTAAGAAAGCCAAACGGAAAAGTAAAGAAAAACGACTTTGTAACACACAAACTAGTAAACATTTTCTTTCAGAAAATATAATATTCTTGAAATTTAGACCAA